GTGCTGCGCACCGACCTCCCGAACGGCGTTAGCACAATATGCTACGCCGACGACACGCTGGTGCTAGCGCACGGGAGGTCACACCAGGCGGCGGCCGACTTAATGGCGACAGCGGTTGCGACAGTCGTTGAAAGAATCCGGCAGTTGGGACTCGAGGTGGCGCTCCACAAGTCCGAGGCCATGTGTTTTCATGGCCGCGGGAACGCGCCACCTCCGGGTGGGTCCCAAATAACGGCGGGAGGGGTTACCATCGGCGTCGAGACGGCGATGAAGTACCTAGGACTCGTCCTCGACAGTCGGTGGAACTTCATAGAGCATTTCCGACGTTTGGCTCCAAAGTTGGAGAGGACGGGGGCTGCGTTCAAACGCATCCTCCCCAACCTCGGGGGGCCAAACGCCTCCTGCCGGAGGTTATACGCCGGGGTCGTGCGGTCCATGGCCCTCTACGGCGCCCCTGTTTGGGCGCCGAACTTGTTGCGGCGTCCTGCTCGGACGCTGCTCAAGTCACAGAGGGTCATGGCGATCCGAATGATCCGCGGATACCGCACGATCGCTGGGGAGTCGGCGAACCTCCTTGCCGGATTACCGCCGTGGGATCTGGAGGCGAAGGTGCTCGCGCGCGTGTATAACATGCGCGCGGAGGCACGTCGCCGGGGCGAAACTCCGCTGCCGCGCCAGATAAGTGCGTGGCGGGATGAGCTCCGGCGCGATCTCATGGCGGAATGGCAGCAACGACTGTCGCAACCGAGGGCTGGGCTCGCTGCCATTGCAGCGGTAAGTCCCCTCTTTGAGGAGTGGCTTGAGAGACGCTACGGCGTCCTCACCTACCGCCTGACGCAGGTCCTCACCGGACATGGAAGTTTCGGGAGGTACCTGTGTCTGATGGGGCGGGAGGAAACGCCCGGGTGTCATCACTGCGAGGACCGCCCTGAGGACACGGTGGAACACACCGTAGCGGAATGCCCTGCGTGGGCTGAGCACCGCCGTGCCCTCAGGGAAGTGATCGGCGATGGCGACCTCTCGCGTCCGGGCCTAGTGCAGGCCATGATGCGGAGCGAGGGGGACTGGGATGCCGTCTCCTCCTTTTGCGAAGCAGTCATGCTAGCTAAGGAGGAGGCGGGACGCGTGAGGCAGCGAAGCGCTGCCTCCTCGCGACCCAGCCATCGCGAAGGACACACCGGGCGTCGGGGATCGCGGGACGATCTCCGGCCACCGTAAGCGCGGGCCTGCGGACGGCGAGCATGGGTGGCTCCCCGTCCGACCAGAAACAGACCCGAGCGTACGGCGCGTCGCGTTCCGCGCGCGCCTCAAAGAGCCATCAGACCACCACAGATGGGGCCCAATAGGGCCGATGCCGATTCGGAGTCGCGGAGAACCTAACGGGTAACCGGGGCTCCGGCTCGACGTGCAGGAGAAGGAACGGGGTGGTTTTTAGTCAGTAAGAGTCTGACACTCCCTTCCGCCTCACCCAGGCGGGAGCAGTCATTCGATGATTTTCCCCCCTTAAAAAAAAAAAAAAAAAAAAATGTTCAGCCTTGGACGTCTTCTGGCTGATATGATGTGAAACAAGTGAATTTATTTCTGCAAATAGGCTACAAGGCAGCACTTTTACACGTCAATTATATCAAGCGAACGATGAGGCCGACATTTCCTAACTGACTACTCTGAGAAGAAATGCCGAAACAAACTCAGAGGTCTGTCTCTTTTAAAGTCCAGACAAATGTGTATAAAAGATTATGTGTGAGAACCGTGCAAGTTCTTTCTGTAGTGGCCTATTGAGGAAATGATGATGATGCCAGGTTAAATACTGTCTTATTGATAGTAGTTAAACGAAATGTCGGTTTTGGGTTGGATTCCCACGTCCTACAAAAGTGGTTTTGAGTATTTTTCAAAGTTTTAACAATAGCACGGAATCTGGAAATGTACTGTTTTTATTATATGGTACGCATGACACAATTAATCTATATATCTATATCTATATGAAATTGTAGAAAAGTGCTGTCTGTACATTGAAAATAAAAATAAAAAAAATAGCAGGGGTTATTGTTATGTCGATGTCGAACCCAAAAATGTAATTAACTTTTTTTTGTCTGTTTGTCTGTTCACGCTAATCTCAGAAACCGCTGATCCGAGTTGGATGCGGTTTTCACGAATATATTGTGGTATGCTTCAGTTATGCTTTAGTGTTTGTTTCATGTCAATCGGTTCATAAATAAAAAAGTTATGTCAAATTAAAGAATCATGTCGTGAGTATATATTTAAAAAAAAACGCTGCTCATAGTCACTATTCCACGCGAACGAAGTCGCGGGCACAGCTAGTGAAAAATAAATGTTTTATTTAATAATTCCAAAATCCACCCTATTCAGTTATTTGCGTGATCATTAGAAAAAAAAATATAACTAACATTATGCCCAATATTATGGAAATACTTTTTTTGTATTCATTTATCTAATTTGGCAACATTATTTTTTATTATAACGAATATATCAAATGCCATTGTAAGTAATCAGTCAGCAATGAATATTTGTAAAATAAATTACAATATTCGTCAATTTCAATGCCAGACGAGCAATTCAAGTGTAAATGATCTATTAAAAATATTATATATAAATGTTAATAATAATAAATTCACTAAATAGTTTTAGAACCTTGATTAGTAATCAACAACCTTGTGTGTTAAAAATTAATTATTAATTAATGCCAATTATACACTAACACTAGATACTGAACAATATTTAATTAGAATGACACTAAGACAGATCGACATGTTTTGCAGAAATGTCCAATATCCAGTGCCAGTATGAAATGGTATATTAATAAAAATTGCTAAAATCCAAAATCTTTGAATTAGGTAAGATTCGATTATTGATATTAACGGCCGCAATCAGTAACCGTTCTTAATCAAATCTTAAATTCCCACTTGTCAGCTAACACCCGAATACTAATTCTCATATGTAGAATAAAAATTACACTTAATAGTTTTTAGTATGGAAGAACTGTCAAATATTTTAAATTATTCCGCCGATAAAATTTATCTGGCAGGAAAAATCATCCCGAAATGCTATAAATAACATTCTTGTAAACTCAAAACCAACTGTGAATGTAGCTTCACTATCAGTAGCGATGACAAACATGATTATGTAAAACAAAAAAAAAAGAAAAAGTTACATAGCTTCTCATAAACATGAAAGTTTCATTTTTTTATTTAGGCGTGAACAACATGTCATTTCTCTTAAGTTACCGGCCAGTGTAAGATGAGCTCCCATTCTTCTGTGTTATTAGGGAAATGGAGATCATAATGTGAGGTGTGAAATTGCATTTTTTTGTGCCTTAGTGCATTGAAACAGATTTCTAAGTAATGTGTAACACGAGAGAACATACGTTGGTTGGGAAGATGTGTTGGTTGTAGTGCCTCTTTGATTATCAAATGACTTAAGCGAGAGGGAGTATCAGACTCTTACTGACTAAAAACCACCCCGTTTCTGCTCTTGCTTCTAGCCGTAGCCCCGGTACCTCCTTATATTGGCATGGGCACATTGATGTTATTTTAACGTTTTTTTTAATAGTAATTTTTTTTTAATAATAGTACCTACTTTGAACTTTTTCTGTTTTTGTTTTGTATTGTTCATGTTTTTGTTATTATTTGTTGTTGTTTTCTATTTTCTATTGCTTTTAAGTTTATTTTACTATTTTCTATTATCCTTACTAATATTATAAATGGGAAAGTGAGTTTGTTTGTTTGTTTGTTCCACTTTCACGCCTTAACTACTAAACCGATTGCTTTGAAATTTTGCAGACGTAAAGTTAGAAGTCTAGATTAAATAATAGGGTACTTTTTATCCCGGAAAAATGTGATATTCCCGAGGGAAAACAAAAATATTAGTATAGATGGCGCTGTGTGTCTTCGTATAGATGGCGCTGTATGCCATTTAAAATAATTCAACGAATTACCTACTAATTGGAAATTTCACATTTTAATCTATAGCGCTTATTTGGTGTTAATCTACACTTATTCGGTGCACTTTTCGACTTATTTATTTTGTGACGCGGGCCAAGCCGCGGGTAAAAGCTAGTATGTAAATAACCGAATTTTCATTTTTTTTTTAATTTTAATTTACTTTGTATGTGTGTGCCTATTTGTCAATTAAATGTTTTTCTTTCTTTCTTTTCTGTCGAATAAATATTGTCTGGAGGTATATTGGCACCTACGTTTGCTACCTCTCTGTGTGTAGTGTATACAATAAAATTATGAATGTGTAACTAGGTTAAAGTGTAGTAAGGGGCTCCATATATATAAACATCGATTTGAACCTGAATAATCACGTGATTATAACCAATATGAATTTGTCTATCTTGTAGTATCATTGGGCAATATTTACGGTCATAAAAAAGTTTTAATTGAATTTTTATGACAGGCTTACTCTGCCTGTTTATGTTATGATTATGAGTCCCTATCTTGGTTTGAAATTAGTTGAGTGACCTCCTCAAACATTTTAATGACTAATTAATTTAGTACATACCACGGTAGGCACTTAATAGCATAATAGTTATTTTTATAAACTACGTTACGAATTCATAACCTACTTCAACTTCCTCTTTTTTTGAAGTCGGCTAATTAATAATTATACTAAAAACTTCTCCTAAATATAGGTAACGAACACTTTTCTGAAAATCACATCAAAATCAGTTCAGCCAATCGGGAGATAATCGCGCACAAACATACATACATACATAGGGAAAAGTCCCGTAACGCCGGACGGCACCCAACGCCGGACACTTGTATTATCTCGATAACTAATATCACAAGCGCTTTAATTTTTACTAAAAATCTTAGGTGTCTATCACTGGGAGACTTCCCCCTAAAAATTAAATCGCTCGCGTTATTAGTTATCGAGATAATACAAATGTCGGGTCTTAGGTGCCGTCCGGCGTTAAGGGATTGCCCCTATAGGTCACAATGAGAATCTCTTTCTTTTTTTGAAGTCGGTAAAAAACTTACCGATATAAGGTGTGAATCGCCAAGTGTTGCCTAAGAACGGTAATGGACGAGGCCCAGGTACTTCAGCCCACGACTTGACAGATGGAGCCATGTCAAAAATGGACGTGTCGATCGCCGCATGAGTGGATCTCGCGCGAAATCCTTTTACCGGACATGTTTGAGCTGGTTTTTGACCTGTAACGAGTACATGTTAATGGATTTTTTTATAAATAAAACGAGTATTAAAGATTGCCTAAACCGGTTTAAAAAAACTGTTTTTTTTTGTTACTATGTTTTGAATGGTGTGTCAGATATTTGACACAGTATAATGAAATGAACGGTCTATTTCTTAGCATTTGTAATGTATCAAGATTATTTTCTTAACTAATAGTGTTACATAGTTGTTATAGACTATGTAATAATGAATTCAAAGTACAATAAATACTAACAAAATGTTTAGCAAAAATTAAATCATCATTCGAGGCCTCCAACTAGACCTTCTCACGAAACCACAGTTAAACATAACTATAATAATAATATGTAAATCTATAAAAATCTTCGTTCTATAATAATTTTAAACACATCTAACTTCAAAATTAACTAACAGACTTCATTGCGCTGTCTATGTAAAAATCATTAAACCGCTTTTGACAGCATGTTGCATAAAATACAGCTAGCAACTTTGAACTTTATAAACATGCTAATTAAAGTACTTTCTTCATTATAAGACGTTACATATTATAATTTTAATTTATGTAAGTTTATCTAGTTTTACATCGCCATGCAACCTCAAACGTCTAGATCTAATTACTGGTGGAAACACTATTACCTACACGCTCACACGCCGTGAAGTTTGCGCAAGAGTTGTACGCGATTTTAATTTCAACATTAGGAAAAAATGTCCTTATAAAGAAGGATATTTTAGTATCTTTCTGGGTATTGTCTGTAAAGATGATTTTTCTGTGTAGGGTATAACTATTAATAGACTTATCTACTATCTGTATTCATCGTTGTGATCCAATGTTCTGATGCATTTTTTTTTAAATACTAGCATCAATAACGTTCTTGAAGTACATCAAAGTAAAGAGCCGGCTCGACCGGAGTGATATCACGGCTTCACTGAAAACCGACGTGATGCAAAGCTTGCGTTGTGTTTCGTAGTGTGAGTGAGTTTACCAGAGACCCAATTAACCCCCTCCCCCCCTTCCCTAATCTCCCTAATCCCTGAATCCCCAACGATCCTCAAACTCTTAATCCCCAAAAAGCCGGTGATGCACTTGTAACTTGGTTGCTTACCATCAGGTGACCCGTCCGCTAGTTTACCGGCTGAAGTATGCTATAAAAAACCATTCTATTAAATTTTCTTATTTTACCTGAGAAATCACCGGCTAGTTTTCTAAAACGGACTACTTACACATAGAGTTACGGCATATTTTGTAAGTAACTTCGGAATTTAAATAAAATTCTGATATTAGATGCATAAATCAACCACATGGCTGTTAAATAGTCACGGAAGGTATACATCTTGATAGTAAAAAGCGACAATTGCTATCAATCAAGCAAAGGAAATCCATAAATATTAGATACTTACTGATTTCTAACGCACTCTCAGTTGGTTTTGTGTTTTGTGTACTAGTTGTTATAAGTCGAGCGCCACGGACATTTCGTAGCGGCCATTTTACCACGCTGATTCGGCCCCTCATTATTTAGTACTTGGCTCTGAAACAAAAGGAAAATTGACATTACATAATCATTTTTAGGTACATATTCTTCCGTTCACTGTTGAATGATATTAGAGAAAATCTCCTGGGTTATTTTGAGAGACTGCCTCGTTGGCCGAGTGGTCGTAAGTGCGACTGCCGGGCAAGGGGTCTCGGGTTCGATTCCCGGGTCGGGCAAAGTATTACTGGGTTTTTAAATATTCTCAGTAGTAGCACGGAGTTTGTAATTGTGCCCGGTATATAGCAATGGGCTCACCCTCTATTACATGGGACTCATACCATCAATAGTAAAAAGTGGATGTTACATTGTACAGTGGCATAACATGCACCTCTACCATTCTACCCCTTCGGGGATAAAAGGCGTGATGTTATGTATGTTTGTTATAATAGAAGTTCAAGCTAATTTCGACATGCATTTATGCATGAGGGTGGCATGAGAAGCGGGCGTCTTAAACCTCCGGGCCACCAAGACCACGAGTTCTAGATTCCTATGGAGATCCTAATGAGAACCTATTGTATGATCCCACCATTAAAGAAATATAAACGTATTACTACACAAGGTAAACAACACAAAAGTAAGTACATTTTATGTACGTAAAATATACTCATATTCGACCATAATTCATCTCTAAAACTTTTACTTTAGTAATAAACCGCTGCTTGACGCGCAGACACTGAAATTACATGTTTATTATTCTTTCCGAGGTAATATATCACATTTATTTTATAAGCACACATTGCATAATTCTTTATATATATAATTCTTCTGTGAGTGTGTATGTCACTGAACTTCCTCAAACGACTGGACCGATTTTGATGACATTTTTTGTGTGTGTTTCAAGGGGATCTGGGAATGGTTTAGATTCACAAATCAACCCGGCAGATGGCGCTGCAGTCGGTGTGTAGATTAGTTATCCTAAGCGGCTGAACTAATTTGAATGAATTTTTGTTTATACATTCAAGTGGATATGCAGGACAACGTCTGTCGGGTCCACTAGTATATTACATAGGTATTGTTGAGTATTCGTAAATGCAGACAAGACTTTCAGTTGAGTGTGAGTCTTGGTCAGCTGTTGCCCTTTTTTGAGGGGGAATATCATCCAATGATTTCTCCTGCCCTAAGTGAGACAAGACGGAGTGTCAGACACTGAGTAAAGAGCACCAGACCTAGTTCCTACTAGCCCCGGTAGCCCGCTAGGTCGCAGCTGCGGAGAGTAATACTTCAGTGTTTTAATCACACTGGTGAAGCTGCAAGTAAAAGCTAGTTACAATCCTATAGTAGCCACTGCTGACCAAATGCCTCTTCTCACACAGAGTAGGTTTGAGCATTAATCGCCACACTTGCTCAATTCGGGTTGACGATTTGAAACTTATAATTATAAATTATAAGCCCAGGTTTCCTCACGATGTTTTCCTTCACCGTTTGTCAGTGGTGTCTAGATAGTCTTAGAAAGGACATATAACTCGGAAATAATCACATTGGTACTTGCCGTTAGTGGGTTTCATACCTGCACCCTCATGCATGAGAAGCAGGCGTCTTAATCTGTCAAATACCAAGCGGTCACCGGTGACCGCGACCTATTGTTCTTTAATTGTGTCTATAAAACCGGTACTCGACGAGTTAAACCTCCGGGCCACGTCATTGCTAGATATAAAAATTATGTATAATCTTAGACTACTATGAAAACCTTCATTCAGACTGAGAATAAATGTTAGCACGGTGGGAGCATTTAAAAAAAAACGTTAAAATCGTGAGCAATATTTCTATAGAAGACCTTTTAAAAGTAATCGATATGAACATTACGAATTATGAATATTATACTCTTACACTGTTAAGCAATGCATTTAAAGAAGATAGACATCATCGTGTGAATATTTCATTAACCTTTCAGCAATCAAGGTCGTCTGGAGTCTGTAATTAATTTTCATAGATATAGATTATTTATTTTGAATGCTTATTAAAAGTAGCTATATTACATAGACTCAGGAATTTCGTAACAGCTCAGAATAGACAAATATTGTTGTGCATCTACAAAAACGGTTTCGGTGATGATAATCAAAGTAAATATGGATATAAATTATGGGAAATAAAAAGAAAGAAAGGGTTTTTTTGTCTATTTGGAACGTTTTAATCCTTAGAACTATCGGTTCGTATTTGAAAATTAATTTTGTGTTCTATATCCATTGTATTGTATTGTCCATTTATTGAAGACTAGCGCCGGCTACGCACGGGTGCAATATGCATGTATTATACACCAAAACCTTCCTTAAAAATCACTCTATCTATTAAAAGAAATCTCACCACAAACCGTTGTGTAGTTTTAAAGATCTAAGCATACCTAGGGACCACAGATATATTAAAGATAGGAACAGACAGACGGCGGATAGCGACTTTGTTTTATACTATGTAGTAATAAAGATAAGCTTCTTCGGCTTCGGCTTCTTTAGGCTATCAAACTTCACATTTTGGGTGAAACGGAGCGAGAGAATGCCAGCGGATAACTAACAGAGAACATAACATAACATCACGCCCTTTATCCCCGAAGGCGTAGGTAGAGGTGCACACTACGGCACTTAATACCACGGTACAGCGTAACACCCACTTTTCACTATTATTTTTTGAGCCTATTGCCATATATGTACCAAATCCTATTGCTATCAATATCCTATTGCTAAATTAGCTTCCTATCAGGTCAAGATGGTTATATTTTAATGGTGACTTTGGTGTTTGTCTATTAATAGAAAATGTAGACATGGACATTTATTTAATTTGCATGAATACATATCACTTCATTAATTATATGTATTTTATTTTTATTCAAATAAATTTTTGTTTATATTTAAATATATTATTGTCGGTTGACATTTTTATTTTTAGAGATTATATTATCATATTCTGAAAAGTGTGAATTTTTTATAAATCAACATCGTATTATTTATTTTATTGTCAAATATTCTAGATAAAAAGAAATCTGGTGTGTAAATACCTGACAATGTTGTTACAATATATATTTTGTACTGAAAAATAAATTATGTCCAGAAACTATTTTAACAGATAACAGATTAATCTTTTTTTATTGGCTAAGTAATTATGCTTCACATAAGCATAAAAATAAGTATTCAAAAACTTTTCTAAATTGATTAAAAACACAATATAACTAAGTATTTAGAAAACGTGGTCTTATTTTGAAATTTACCCCTTAAACTTCACTTAAAACGCGATGTTACAAAATATAAAAAAAATATTTGTAAACAATACCTCGGACCGCAACACTCTTAAAAAAAATAGATCACCATAAATAAAACATAAATAAAAAAACAGGCACTTAATCAATTCACACCCTAAAAACACCCTTTTAATAAACAAATATTTGCATTGCATAAAAAGAATAATACCTTTGCCAAAACAGAAGAAATATCCAAAAAGTCCTTATCAGTGGCACACTTGACACAGCACTTTGACACGTAATCAGTCACAATAGCATGAACTCTGCTGACCCCCTCTATACCCTTAGCAAGTTGGACGTCGACTGAGCTTCCTTGAACATAAGTCAGGTGCTTGCTTTCTGTGCGTGTTTCCAATGCACAGTACACAATGTCGCTCGTACAAAAAACACTCTTTGAGAAATCCGAGAAATTTATTCACTCTGATTGTTTATTAAAATTTCTTCTCAGTTAAAAAAAATAGTAATCAAGTAAGTAATAGTATAATTAAAAAATATATATGTATATTGTTGTATTTTAAATGGTTTTATTGAAGATAAAATATTGTGTATCAAATATCAGATCAATCAAATATTAAACTAAAAATGTGTTGCCAATGCCATCAAAATCTTTTCTATTAACAAATTTATACCATTTATTTGTTTAATGCTATATAAATCTGTATTTAGACAGACATGCTACATATGCGACACTTACACGGAAAAACGTATCAATTAATAGCCTATTTACATCCTGTTGAATTATTGATAGATTTATAATAATACCTATGTAGGACGGGCATTTATAACCTGAACGACACCTAAGTATTGATAACTTTACAATACTTAACATGGTTTTAAAAATTCTCAATTTGACTTGTGTGTATGTTTGTACGCGACTGACTCACGATTGGCTGAATCGATTATGATGTGCTTTTCTGAAAAGTGTTTGTTACGCTTAGGAGCACGTTTTAGTACAACCAGCTCTAATATTAAACGTCTACATAAATAGAGGTTGAAATCTGTTTATTAAAAAAAAATAAAAAAATGACGTGTATCAATGTGCTCACGCGGCAATGCGTAACAACGTGCGACAGAACGGCTGAGGTACACGATGTACCAAATGAGATCGAAAGTATCTTTCTAGTTCCTTTCCTTGGAACAAATAACTTTTACCCACGAGTTCGCCTGCTGTTATCATTATTTATCGCTGATGTTGTCGCTGCGAGTTTCATATCATATATAATTGCGATTGTTTTACGTGCCGTGTACAAGGAATGTGAGCCTCTAGAATGGCTTGAAACTAGTCGAGTTCCTCGTCAAATAATTACGTTGTTAAGCGGAAAAACATAATAATTTTATTTAGTTATAAAACTATTTCCAGTATGCAATTTTACTTAAAAATAAAGTTAAAAGATATCTTGACGAATCTGGGGTCGAAATAATAATTAATGTAAATATTTACCGTTGCCAGGTATTCGAAAATCGAAACTAAGCAGACTGGCCGGTTTAGAAAACGATCGTATAAAAAAAATCATTTGCTAAAAACTAGCGCTATTCTATGTCTACATTCCTAACGGTCGAAGCGTGATGTTATAGTATATAACCTCTTTGAAGAATTGGACTAACTAAATCTTTTTTTTATATTCCTTTTTTAAAATAACTGTGCTCAAAGTTTCATTCACACAATATAAGAAACTGTACCTATAGGTAGTCGTTGGTCTATAAGTACACTTATAATGAAAATATTTGCTCTCTTTGTTGGCTTGTTTGCATAGATTAAGCTCCGAAACTATATGACTGAACTGAAAAATTCTTTGACCATTACCAAAATATAGCAAACTTTTTAAGGAGTAACATGGGGGTTATTTTTATGAGACTAAATCGTATGGTTTAGAATTTATTCAAACAAAATAATGTCTGAAAAAAGGTAACAATTTTAAAAGTTTATTTTTCCCCAAATTCTAATTCTTTTCCTCACAAAATATATCTCAGTTAGGGCTCCTACACAAAACTGCAATGCGATGCGATGTGAATTCGCAACGCAGAAAATTACGATGCGAATTGCTGCGATGCGATTTCGTGCGACAAAGCGTCTCCCAGGTTGACCATTCCTTCGACAACTGTCACCCGTACTAAACGTATTTTAAATTGAAAACTAGGTCGTGACATGGATCGTAAAAAGAAGTGTGCACTTCTGTTATTGTTTAAATGGTACAGGAACAAGAAACGAAGAAGATTTTGGAAAGATAAGATTTTGATGCGCGATGCGAATCAATTCCCAAGTTCTTGCAATGCGTAGAGGGAGCTCGCACATTTTTGCGATGCGACGTCGCATCGCAGTTTTGTATACAATCCCTTAAAGATTACTTTTTAGCCAATTCCATATCACAACATTTAATAATCCTAACATACCACAGACTAAATAGACAATCACACCTATTTATACCGATCCTGGGTTATTCGAGAGAAATCGTCCAAGTTGTATGCGACAGACTGAAAGAAGTAAGTAAAATGCAAAATTCGAGATGTCAACCGCACAATATTGGATTTTTTTTTAAGGGGGGAAAATCATCGAATGACTGCTCCCGCCTTGGTGAGGCGGGAGGGAGTGTCAGACTCTTATTGACTAAAAACCACCCCGTTCTCCTGCACGTCGAGCCGGAGCCCCGGTAACCCGTTAAGTTCTCCGCGACCACAATATTGGATAGTGCCTAATCAATTACAGTTGACTATTTGAACTAGAATTCTCGATTCGAAAGTGTTATGAACATAATTAATATTGTTTCTGCAATACCTAATGAACGGAACTACGATTTGCGTGACTACATTATTGTGTAATCGACTTTAAGTAGTTTTAAGTATGATTGAAGTTATTAATTCTAAAACCACATACGTAAATAAGTCAGAGTTCGAAGATATTTACGTTTTGGTACCATAACATAACATCACGCCCTTTATCCCCGAAGAAACAGATAGAGGTGTACATACGTAACGGCACTTAATGCCTCCGTACAATGTAACACCTACTTTTCACTATTTATGTTATGAGTCCCATGTAATTACCATATACCGGTCACAATTCCAGACTCCGTGCTACTACTGACAGTTTTTTTAACAACCCAGTAATACTATCAGGTGCCATATTTGTTACAAAATTTAAAAATCAAAGTCAAATCACTTACGTATTTCAATTAGGTAATACTTAAATAGCCACGTTAAAAACGTCGAAATTGAATTGTCCGTCTGTTTGTCTGTCAGTGAAGCTAGGTGCTCGCCCCAAAGTGGAGTTACGAATGGAGAAGAAAGAACAAGGAACTCCATCGTTACTATTTTAAAATAATTAATGCTCCGCTTATATCAATTTTTTTATGAATTTACATACATACTTACTTACATAACTTCACGCCTGTCTCCCATGGGGGTAGGCAGAGACTAGGAAACACCAATTACTATTCCTACATACCTCTTTCGCTTCATCAACAGTCATCAATCTTTCATGCATGCTCGTCGGTTAAGGGTACTTTTAATTTGGCCCTTCTTTAATATATCACCAATCTGGTCACCATATGTCCATCTAGGGCGCTTTTTATGAATTTAAGTTGTAAATAATTTAAAATGAAAAGGTTATTGCAAAATTTAATTAAAAAATAATTTGTATATTTAATGTTTTTATTGCCAATAACTGAATAATAAAAACCAATTGAATAGTAATTTGTTATGAAGATCATAAAATAAAAATATGTATGATCACGCGTGCACTTCGTTTATTTACTCGGTTATGTAGCCATTAGCACGATGGAGTTTTGGATTCGAATTCCGTGTGGACAAGACAATATTGGGTATATCCTCTATCAACAATTTAAGAACTATAATCATTCAAGCTCACCCTATATTACATAGGACTGATAACATACTCCTCACTGCATCATCACACATCATCCACCCGTTGCGGTAACCGTACAGTTAATTTAATTAAGACATTTTTATTCGACTTTTACTCGGTAAAAGTTGACGACTGAATCCTGTTCCAAGTTTCGTAAGATTACCTGAATCATCTGCCAGTACTTGGCGTTACATCTTAAGAATGCAGTACGCGATTACGGCCCACAATACCCATTATGGCCCAACTAGTTTTTTGTATATGAAATCTTTGCAATCTTATGGTCATTTTAACATGGTTGTAATTCTTTTGTGTTGTTTTGCCAAGTTGGCTGTGAACGGAACGAAACACATAACATAATATCACGCTTTTTATCCCCGAAGTGGTAGGCAGAGGTGCATGTTACGCGGCACTTAATGCCACTGTACAATGTAGGTAACACCCACTTTTCACTATTTATGTTATGAGTCCCATGTAATTGTCATATACCGGGCACAATTCCAGACTCCACTTGCTTCTACTGAAGGTTTTTTTAACAACCCAGTAGTACTTTGCCCGACCCGGGAGTCGAACCCGAGACCCCTTGCCCGGTAGTCGAACTTGCGACCACTCGGCCATCGAGGCAATCTTCTCTTCAGTGCTTACTCAAATATGAATAAAACTCGAACGAGATAGAAATTTCAATTTTTTCTTTAACTTTTTCTAACCAATACTATTTAATTTTATTGACATGGCAACAAATCTTATTATCCTCGTTTTTGACAGTCGCAATCAATAATAAACCTCGATCGATTTAAAATCCAGTTATAAAATATGAAAACGATGCATTTGTTCTTATTACGTCCATATTACATGGGACTCATAACATAAGTAGTGAAAAGTGGGTTGCATAGTGTCGTGGTGGCCCGGAGGTTTAAGACGCCCGCTTGCATGTGGGTGCGGGTTCGAAACCTACCAACGGCAAGTACAAATATGACTTTTTCCAAGTTATATTTACTTTCTAACATTATTCAGACACCACTGATAAACGGTGAAGGAAAACCTCGTGAGGAAACCTGGGCTTATAATTTCTAATTGTAAGTTTGAAATCGCCATCCCGCATTGAGCAAGCTTGGTGATTAATGCTTAAATCTTCTCCGTGTGAAAAGAGGCTTTGCTCAGCAGTGGGCAGTATAGGCTGTTGATGTGTGTGTGATGTGGGTTATGGGTGTTACATCTGCCTACCCCTTCGAAGATAAAAAGCGTGATGTTATGTTGTGTTGTTCTTATATATTCATATCTTGATAAAGATAAAAACAAAATTATGATACACATAAATAAAAATAAATGACAATAGCATTGTAAATAAATTTGTTCGTTTTGCTTTTAAATTATTGAACAATTATGTCAAATCGTAAAATATTTTATTGAATTTATGTTCACGCTAACGAACGATA